TATCAGTCAGCTCTTCAGAGTCCCTGAAAAGTTAAGTTGCCCCCACACTCCCAGGCACAGACTAGTCAAACAGGGACTATTACTAAATCACTAAAAGAGAGTTAAGACAAGCAGAAAGTCATCTGGCAAATTTCCCAATGAAAACAGGTCTTTCATTGCACACACACTACAGAAGAAGGGAGTCAGAAGACGCCTGTCACTCCAGCAACCACAGCTGGGTCCTCCTCAGCACTCAGTGTTAATGTGGTAGTCACAACTGTGGCTCATTAAATATGTTCTCAATGGGGACAAAAAGGGAGAAGAGAATGTTACACACTCTCCTTTGTCATCTAAAACAATGCCATCTCAGTAGCCTCTCACTCACCTGTTTAGATTCATCTTATTCTTTTTAGCCAACCCAAGAACATGTGTGTTCCTGTTGATCTTCTTGGAAATGCCTTTTATAGACTCCTTACTGGCTTCCTTACTGGGCTGGGCTGGTTGACTTTGAGAAGCCTGTAGAAAAAGGCAGGGGGAGGGGAAGAGAAAGAGGCATGGCAATTAAGAAAACTATAAATTATCTAATAGATGGCTCTTATAGGAAAGTCCCGACCCACATAGACAGGTTGGTTGGGTGTTCCCAGGAGTGATAATACAAACATCTCACAACCAATATGACACTGGATTGACCAATCACAGTGGAAGCTAGGAGCAAACAACCAGTGCAGTAGCACTGGTAAGTGTTGGCTAAATAGCAGCCCTAAGAGCTTCCAAGAAATACAGGATGTAGTTCGGTTCCCCATGCCAGGCCTACTGGCTGGCAAATAACTGAAAAGATGCTTTGTTAACAACATATTCCACCTTGACCTCATAAGATATTCAGATGGAAAAAAAGGCAATATGATGAACTTTGCTGTCAGTGGGGGGTGGGGGGAAGGCCAAGATCAACTAACTTTTCAGGATAGACCTCTAACAAAATACTACCTGTGATACATCTATCCCATCTCATTGAGTGGCATTTATTTAACATGGAGCCCTGAGGAGTTTCACCACAGACTCTAATCCTGACTAATACTATTAAACAGTAGGAGAGAGTGTGGGACTGTGAATAATGTCAGTAAAAATACAATTAACAGTCATGTCTTTAAAATGAAACAAATGAACCTAATTATATTTCAAATAAGTACCATAACCACACTAAAGAAAAAGAGAAGGACCAATCCAAGTAAATTATAAACACAATATTTGACTACATACCCTCAAAGTATAAATCCTCAGTTAGGATGGGTTTGCAGAGGGCTGGGGAGTAGATATTGCTAATGAATCTGGAACTCTTTATAGTAGATTTGTTTATTATAGGGGTATGGATGAAGTCATTTTGAAATTCTTTTAGCTATTTTACATAAATGTATTGATGTTCTCAGGAACCAGGGCTCTTCTTGTAGAAGAAGGAACATACAAATATTGATTAATGGATGCAAGAAAGAATCTTGTGTATTGGAATCAAAGATGTGTGAATTGTGATTTTCTAAATCACACATGTATATGTGTGTATATATCTGTATATATAGGTATAGGCATATGTCTGTGTATATAGATACATGTATGTTAAGTACACATATTTGTGTATATATATACATACAGATACTTCCTAGCTCTGTCTGCTGAATGAGCAGAAAAAGAGAACACCCTAGTAGCATACCTAGCACCAAGATCTTGGTATCTAATACCATTCACCACTAAATGGAACAAGAAATCTTTGAAGAAATTATTGATTTCAGGGCTGGGACAGAGTAGGCATTAAGATGAGCCTGGAGCATCTTTTCCTGCTGGAAAGAAAATGCTAAAAAAAAAAGGTGAGAGCATGTCATAAGAACACAGTAGTCAGATTGACTACTGGCCAAATCTGGGACAATTTGAGCACCAAGATAAAGTATAATAATGAACAATAAACCACTGAATAAATAGGAATTCCTGAGTCCACACTGATCATCAACAGTGGCTTAGCACTAACTCTTACATATCAAAAGTCCTTCCCATGTTGGAAATGCTAAGAGGGAAAGAAAAACTCACAGCAGAGTAACTAATTAGAACAGGTTAATTATTTTTGGGAGGCCAGGACCTCACTGTGGCAAATATTGAGAAGAACATAGAGGTGGGGAAATGAAGCAAATCACCAAAAAGGGAATCCCTAAAATTCAGAGAGTAAGGAGTGCTCAACACTTAAATAGATTATCTCAGGTATCTGCAGTAATGCACTACTCTAGGAATGGCTTAGGTACACTGCAATGCTAGAACTTTCTCCAGAAAGCACCAATGACCATTCAAGATGATCAAGGTAAATCTTCAGAACTTGAAAGCAAAAGGCATATGGACTTTCTGAACTGCTGGAAAGCCAGAAGCAGAGATTCTGCTTGGGGATTCTTTGTTCCTCACCTCCATCCCCATGAGGACATGATCAAACAGATGGTGAATTCATCTGGAGAGTCAGGAGGGTCCTGGATACTGCATGTATTTCTCATTATTGATACAGTCCATTTGTGTCTATTGTTTCTAAATGGTAAAATAAACTTCATGAAAGAAAACACTGCGAGCTGGGCTCAGTGGCTCAGCCTGTAATCCCCCGCCTTTGGGAGGCTGAGGTGAGTGGATTGCCTGAGCCTGCAGGTTCGAGACCCACCTGGGCAACTTGGCGAGACCTCATCTCTACAATAAATCAAAAAATTAGCCAGGCATGGTAGCGCACAGCTGTAGTTCCAGCTACTGGAAGGCTGGGCAGAAGGATCACCGGAGCCCAGCAGGTCGAGGCTGCGGTGACTGGGAGTGGCCACTGCACTCCAGTCTGGGTGACAGAGTGAGACTCCAACTCAAAAAAAAAAGCACTGCGATGTAGCAAGAAAGTAAGTTTCTCATATGCTGTGATACCCTACTGGTATGCTCTAAATATTTGTGTCCCCCCTCCCTTGAATTTACATGTTGAAATTGAATCCCAATATGATAGTATTAAGAGATGGTGACTAAGTCATGAGGGCTCTGCCCTCATAAATGGGACTAGTGCCTTTATAAAAGAGGCCCAACTGAAGTGGAAGGATCACCTGAGCCCAGCAGGTCGACACTGGGGTGGCCGTGAATGTGCCACTGCACTCCAGCCTGGGCTATGGAATGAGACTCCAACTCAAAAAAAGAAAGAGGCCCAAGGGAGCCTGTTTGCCCCTTCCATCATGTGAGGACATAGATAGATGTCAGCTGTGAGGAATAGGCCCTCGCCAGATACCATATCGCCAGCACATTGATCTTGGACCTTTCAGCCTCCAGAACAATGAGCAATAAATTTCTGTTGTTTATAAGTTACCCAGTCTAAGATATTTTGTTATAGCAGCCCAAATGAACTAAGACACTTACTTTGCACAGTATCACTGCACTACCATGAGGGCCTAAGCGAGTCAAAGGAAGTTATACTAAGATAGGTTACATCTGCTTCTGATTTTTGCTACCTTACTTCATATAAGTTTTTAGATCTATGGCTAAATAATTCCAGAAATGAATCTAACCTTACAAGTGTGTGTGAAGGGTCTCTTTCTATCAATGAATAGTCAGTCTGAAATTATGCAGAAAGCTATAACTTAAAAACATGTTGTAATCTGCATGAGGAAGAGATTGTATTAGCAGAAAGATAGTCACACAGAATTTAAAGAGCAGGAATTCAAAGAAGATAACTTTTCTAGTACTTATCCAATTATGCCCACGGAGGGGTAAAACATTATTTAGTATATACAAGTATCCTGATAGCCACGGAAGTACATTCTATTGGGCAGGGCAAGACTAGTTCACCAGGATTCTCTATAACCTAGATAAAATAAACTTCAGTCAACATTGGCAAAGTCCCCATCTGTAAAGTAGAGATGATTATAAAGTATCTACCTCATAGGGTTAAATGAGGATTCAGTAAGTTGATACAGGAAAAGGTGCTCAGAATAGTATCTTATACATGGTAAGCACTCAATAGCACGTGGTAAACACTCAGTTATTATTATTTTCTAAGACTAAAGATTACCTTTGTCCTGATTCTATATTCAGTTAACAACAGTCTATTAATTCTGATTTTTTTTTTTACTGGCTCACTAATATCAGAAGGGGGCTGGGCATGGTGGCTCACACCTGTAATCCCAGCACTCTGGGAGGCCAAGACAGGAAGATTACTTAAACCCAGAAATTCAAAACTAGCCTAGGCAACATAGTGAGACCTCACCTCTACAAAAAAAAAAATAATAATAACCAAAAACTTAGTTGGGCATGGTGGTACACACCTGTAGTCCCAGTTACACAGAGGGCTGAGGCAGAAATATCACCTGAGTTTAGGAAGTCAAGGCTGCAGCAAGCTGGAATCATGCCACTGCACTCCAGTCTGGGTGACAGAATAAGACCCTGACTCAAATAATAATAATTATTATTACAATACCAGAAGGGAAGTGACTTGGAAGAATTCTAGTCAAAAGAGTTTCTAGATCTTCACAGTTGATGACAGATTATGGAACTGAGGCTCTCAATGTTCTCTACATCAGGTGGCATTTTTGCTTGTCACTTTAATGCCTGGGGGCCAGGGATGCTGGCTGAGGTCAGTCCCTCACAATAGAAAAGCTGTCCTGCCTAAAATGCCCATAATACTCAAATTTGTAAACACTACCCTAAACTACATTGATTCCTCCAAGGCCTAGGCAGCCAGCTGAGACTTCTCTGGACTTTATCTAAATGCAATATCCCATAGTTCTCATGATTATCTACAATTTCATATCTGTTTATCACAGTCTGCTGCTTCCAGCAAACTCTACCAATTGACTTAAATAATATGTGCCAGTAGTAGAGCCCCTGTGGTTCTTGAAATCGGGTCATTGATTCCTCATAAAATCTACTTTCAACATTCTAGAGAGGGCCAGGGGCTGGTAAAGTGGGGCGGTCCCTCAAGGAAAAGTTATCTGAGCCTTATGCAAAACCATAATAGAGGACTGGACTAGCATACTCACATTGGTGAGATCTTCAAAAGCTGATCTCTTTTTTAGCATTCCCTTAGGTGAAGATGGAGATATCTTTGCTTGGTCATTCTCCCCCATCTAAAAAAGTAAAAGAAGTAAATGAGTATATCTGATTGTGAACAGTCTCTCCAGAGCGTTTGGGTCATCTTCAGAATGCAGGGAAACTCCAGAATCGCAAAGTAACTGGGGATGTATATAATAAACCCCTCAAAAAAAAAAAGAGGAAATTTTGGCACTCGGAGCTGCCTATTAACCCCCTAAAGATGATACACTGATGATGGGGACAAGTCTGTGAAGAAACAAGACACCATCAGTGTAACTCTCAGGCAAGCAAAATGTAGCTTGGTAAAGTTAATTTTTCCTCTTACTTCTCTCATATCTATGTTAACTTATTCAAGATCAACCACTACAACTCCTGTCACTCCTAGTTATTCTTTTAATATATATGGTTTCAGGTACATCAGTACAATAATTTAACAAATGTTTAAGTGTCTCTTTTGTCAAGTAGCTTTTAAAAGACATTTCCAATAAGGATAATAGTGCATATAGCTATATACTGTTCTAGGATTGGCTCTTTGCTAGTTTTGACACTGGAAAAGTCACTTAATCTCTGAGCCTCAATTTTCATATCAATGAAATTGGAATGATAGCCTACCTTACAATCCTTGAGGATAAATAAAAGAATATATGTCTTTTGAAAAGTTTGTATAAACTGTAAATGGACAGAGATAGTATTTAAAAATATATAGTCTGATATGATTATAAACCTCAAGGAAAATTTTGTATGTTAAGAAAAAAGTTTGGTAATCCGGATTAATCTCTAATTGTTGGTGTATATAAGGAAAGAATGAGTACAGAGAGGAGGGGTGAATATTTTGGAGCAGAGGGGGCTTTTCTTTCTAAGAATTCTGTATCTGTGCATGCCTTACTTCACTCTCAAATGAGTAAGACCATCTCTATGAAGTTAGAAGTTAGGGCAAATCACACTGCAAGGCTCTTCTACTCCCTAACAGCTTTTATTTGGTGAAAGTCACCTAAATTTTACATTTCCCTTATGAAATTCTGAGAACAAACCTTCTCTGCTTATATCAGAGAGTAGTTAAAATATGAAATAGGAAACTGAAATCAGACCATTTTCTCTGTTCTCCAGCTATACCACTAACAGTATCTGGCACTGTTTAGAATTGGATCCATGATGCAATAGACCAATCCAGCACAATAGAGTAAACCCGACAGAGCTGAGAAGAATTACACCTGTTTTCTAACTGATTAAGTAAAGATAAAAATACAGTGTCAGTCTTTTATCTGTTTCATGATAAATAATTCTAGTAGAAATAATTAGCAAAATACTATTTTCTCACAAATTAGCTAAGAAATAAACTGTCAACCTGTTTTCTTTTCTTTTTTTTTTTTAAGAAAGAAAAGTTTATTTAAAAGTAAATTAGGAGCCGGGCTCGGTGGCTCAGCCGGTAATCTCGCGCCTTTGGGAGGCTGAGATGAGTGGATTGCCTGAGCCCGCAGGTTCGAGACCCGCCTGGGCAGCGAGCCCTCATCTCTACAATAAATCAAAAAATCAGCCGGGCGTGGTAGTGCATGCCTGTAATTCCGGCTACTTGGAAGGCTGGGGCGGAAGGATCGCCGGAGCCCAGCAGGTCGAGGCTGCGGTAGCCGGAGCGGCCACTGCACTCCAGTCTGGGTGACAGAGTGAGACTCCAACTCAAAAAAAAAAAAAAAAAAAGTAAATTAGGGCTCGGTGACTCAGTCTGTTAATCCTGCGCCTTAGAAGGCTGAGGTGGGTGGATTGCCTGAGCCTGCGAATTCGAGACTCGCCTGGACAACTTGACAAGACCTCATCTCTACAATAAATCAAAAACTAGCCGGGCGTGGTAGCGCGCGCCTGTAGTTCCAGCTACTTGGAAGGCTGAGGCGGAAGAATCACCGGAGCCCAGCAGGCGAGGCTGCGGGGCGGGGGCCAGGAGCGGCCACTGCACTCCAGTCTAGACGACAGAGTGAGACTCCAACTCAAAAAAAAAAAAAAAAAAGTAAATTAGAGAGAGAAAGAGAAGGAAAAGAGAAGATTCATGTCCCTAAAGCGGGGGAGGGGGACTAAAGCCAGGAAGCATGGCCACAGTCATGGCTCAAAGAATACATGGCCACACCAGACTCTAGCAAGGCAATAGCCTGTCAACCTGTTTTCTAATTCCTACTTAATATTGCTGGTAGAGGCCGGGCTCGGTGGCTCAGCCTGTAATCCCAACGCTTTGGGAGGCCGAGGCGAGTGGATTGCCTGAGCCCGCGGGTTCAAGACCCGCCTGGGCAACTTGGCGAGACCTCATCTCTACAATAAATCAAAAAAATTAGCCGGGCAAAGTAGCGCGTGCCTGTAGTTCCAACTACTTGGAAGGCTGAGTCAGAAGGATCGCCAGAGCCCAGCAGGTCGAGGCTGCAGTGGCCGGAAGCAGTCACTGCACTCCAGTCTGAGTGACAGACTGAGACTCCAACTCAAAAAATATATATATTACTGGTAGAACTAATTAGCCCAAAATAAAATTACAGCTGAAACTGAACTCAATAAAACTTAGATCTGCAAAATATGCCCCATGAAAGTTGGGTTTGGAAAAATAACTGCCACAAAAGAAAACTTACAATGGCAGAACTCTAATCGGAAAATTTTAGGTGGCTCAGCCTGTAATCCCAGCATCTTGGGAGGCTGAGGCGAATGGATTGCCTGAGCCTGAGGGTTCGAGACTCGCTCAGGCAACTTGGCGAGACCTCATCTCCACAATAAATCAAAAACTAAGCCGGGCTCGGTGGCTCAGTCTGTAATCCTGCGCCTTTGGGAGGCTGAGGTGAGTGGATTGCCTGAGCCCGCGGGTTCAAGACCCACCTGGGCAACTTGGTGAGACCTC